TCCTCTTCCCCCAAAAATCCGACCTCGAAACCTCCGACTACACCATCTCCGGCTCTGGCCACGTCACCGTCTCCCGCCTCTCTGGCCCGGCCTCGCAATCCACTACATGGAACAATAAACCGCACGAGAGCGGCGCGAGTATGTGGTTCGATCTTGTGCCAGGAAGCTCGTGGTACGTCGAGACGCAGGATTGTGATGCGGGACAGACGATTGCCTACGAAATGTGTTCTGAAGGCGATTTCGCGGTCGAGTATTTTCAGGATTATAATCCTAGTCCCATTGGGTTGTATGTTCGGGAGTGTTAGATGGTTTAATGTCTTTTTTTTTCCTTTTAATGTTAAGGAGGGGGGAGGTGTAATTGTGAAAGGATGAAATGATGGTTATGATGATGATGATGGATGAGTATGACACTCCTTTAGACTAGCGATTGATTTAATTTAATGTGTGGTATGGAAAAAATTGTAGATAGGTGATTGAAATGTATATTGAGCATTGTCTTCAGATTATGGCTTCTTGCTCCTCTTGATCGCGCTGATACGGTGCATAATTGATCCCCATTTTTATGACTTTCAGGAGTAGTATTGTACATGTATTTTCTACCTTATCTGCGTGCTTAACTATAGTTGGCATATGGTACATGTTCAGTCAGTCGAGTACATTGTAGCACCTCATGTGACTTCTTCTTCATCCACATCCTCACCTAGTATTGCTCACCCCGAATCCGGCTCACTACCTGACAGCGACAAGTCGAATTTGCTATCAAACGCCCCATTCATATGCGTAGATCGATTCTCCGCAATCCACGCCTCGACATCGTTCAGCGCCTTGATCGGGTCACCGCGGCAGCCCTGAAGAAAGTTTTGTACTTGAGCCGGAGAAACTGTTCACACGTTAGTTTCTTATCTTACTAGTACGAACTTTCCACTTAATCTACAAAACATACAAACGTTCGACGGCACCTTGTCCGCAAACTCATCCGCCCACTGCTCAATCTGCGCCGGAGTAAATCCGGAGTTGTATGCCATGGCGGATCGCCCTATCAGACGCTTGAAGATGCTCCTTCCGGCACTCTTTGTCATATTTCCGAAATAAACTTTTTTGTCTATACGACCGGGGCGGGTGAGGGCAGCGTCGAGGGCGCCAGGGTCGTTGGATGTCATGATGAGTAGTCGGCCTTCTTGCGAAGCATTGCCGTCGATGGCGTTTAAAAGGCCGCTTAGAGTGACTAGGTTGCGAGTGGACGAAGTTGATGTGGGACGTTTTCGAGGTAGCAGTTCCTCAAAGGCTTCTGTTTCGAGGATGTCGTTCGGGATATAGCGATGCATTCGCTCTTCGCGTGCTGCTCTTCGCGAAGTTGTAGTTTCACGGCCGATACCTGCGGAATCTATGTCTTCAATGACCACAATGCATTTGCGTGGAAGTCCCAAGAAGAGACGATGGAGAGCATCATCGCTGATGGTACCGTTCGATAGGCTAATGTGGTAAATGTCGCATCTAAGATGGCCTGCGAGTGCAGCGCTGAAAGAGCTCTTGCCAGTGCCGGGGGGTCCGTGGAAGAGATATCCACGTCGGTAAGGAATACCGCAGTCGGCGAAAAAGGCGCGCCTATAACTCTGTAAGTATGAAACTTGGATCTGGTTCGCATGATCAAAACATGGGTTTAGATACGGGCGTGTGGCGTGGCATAATCTAAACTTACGACTCATCACTGTAGTAGTACTCGGCGTCTCGAACGATATCGGATTTGACGTCTTCGTCCATGTCGATGGTGTCGAGTTTGCGGACGGCCTTGGATACAGACTGCCTGCGAAAGGTGAACAATGGTGGCCTGGGCATGATCGGTGTGTCGAACGTACCAGCCGCCCCCGTAAGGATCGTTGCGGCTAACGCCTGCAAGGTAAACTGTAGTAGTGCCAGTAAGGTGTTTCAACTTGAAGTCATGACACATTTCCACAAAGTTTTGTAGTGGCTTGAGACTCCACCCTGGAGTTGTGAGGGTAATGGCATTTTGAAATTGGCTGTTATCGTGAATTGTATTGGCGGACGTCAATGCATTGTTCCGAAGGCTCTGGACACCCCGACGGGAAAAGAAAAATGGGCGAAAGCCGATCCAGAAGAGTCGTGTACCAATTGGTGAGAGGCAAAAGATACCGTCATCCTTCTTGTGTGTTGCCGCTCCCGGAGGAGAAGGCATCATTACAAGGGGAAATGCTTGATGAGAATCATGCATACCACCAGTGGCGAGCATAGCGCTTCGTGAGTGACTTTTTGGGATAACTTCTGAACCTATCCAAGCGAGTATCTCTTTTGCGACAGGATCAGCTTCTGAGATAGTGACTTGTACAGTACACATCCACATACAAAAGTCTTTTAAATATGTGTAAGCTGGGTATAAGGCTTGGTATAGACCAACTAGAGCAAGTATTCTCTCCACTTCACCCATGCCACTAGGTTTAAGGCGGTACAACAAGCGCTGGATGAGCTCTAATATCGGGAATTGGCCGGTTGCAGCGCGCTTGAGATGACGCGGGACATATCCAGGAGTATCCAGTGGTTCAGGCCAGATCTGATCATGTGATCTGAACGCAAAGGAAGAAGGAACGTTCCATTCATGAGAAGGCGAAGATATCCGGGGCTCCATGGTGGCCCGGCCGTAAGCGAAATTTTCATGAAAGCTTTCTTGTCGAAGAAAATGATGAGCACTGCATGGGTGTGTGCTCCAGGATATATATGCAGCAGATATGAACTGCCGGGAAGGTGAATGTACGTATATGGCAAGCAGCGAATGTTGATAGCGATAGACAGCAGTTCACGATATGCCAGTAATGTATGACAACGGGCGCAGCGAAAACTGGAGAAGGACGCAACCAAACAGATGAGAACTCCTGGCCAAAATGGCTGTCTACCAACGGCGTGGCTAACAATTGATTGGATGGCTCTGACGCGAGAGCTGGAGGCAAAGAGTGCAAAGCGTCTGAACTGCAATATTCTCCGTGGCCCGATAGGGAAAGAGCATAGACCACGCTAGAGTCCACCCTAATCCCAATTGAGCTGTGGTGGGCTGTTTACACAGGTACGTCATAAACCAAAAACACCAAGCGAACTGTTACGCCATTCTGCGGTGTTGAGTCTGACTTTTCCTCTGTACTCTCAGCTTTCGAAAAGGTTGTATACCCACAATTTCACTTGACAATCTAAGCAGCACGGAAAATCAAGCACAACTATTCACCATGCCTGCCAAAGCTAGCACGGATGATCTCCATGTCGCGAAGCTCTTTTCCGTCAAGGGCTACGTGTGCGTAGTCACTGGAGGGGGTTCTGGAATCGGATTGATGGCTGCTCAAGCATTGGCCGCCAATGGTGCAAAGGTATGTCTCCATCATAACGTACGTATGTGAGCATATCTGACGATCGAGTCAAGGTGTACATTACTGGTCGTCGTCAAGAAGGTAAGAGAAGGCTTGTTCAAGATGTCGCGATATCAGACCTCTCAGCTGACTCAATGAACAGCGCTTGAAACGGCAGCCAAGTCACATAACCCCGATGAAGGTGGCCAGATAATACCACTCTCACCTTGTGACGTGACGAAGAAGGACGATCTAGAGCGAATGTACCAGGAGCTAGCATCCAAGGAAAAGTACATCAACCTGCTCGTAGCGTCTGCTGGAGTTTCTGGCGAAAAGGCGATCCCAGATGCGGAGAAGGCGACAGACATGAAGAAGAAGCTGTTTGACAACGAGACTTTCGAAGGCTGGGCCGACACGTACACGACAGACGTGACTGCTGTGTACTTTTCTACCGTTGTTCTGCTACCGCTGTTGCAGGCTGGGACCGAAACTCACGGGCACTTGTCTGCATCGGTGATTGTGATTAGTTCAATGTCCGGCATCATCAAGGACGCGCAGGGCCATTTCAGCTACAACGCGGCCAAGGGTGGGACGGTGCACTTGAGCAAGCTCATGTCGGCCGAGTTCCAGAAACTTCGGATTCGGGTGAACAGCATTGCACCAGGTTACTTCCCGTCTGAGATGACAGCCAAGGAGAGTGACGAGCAGCAGAAGAGTGACTTGCCAGACGAGAAGATCCAGGAGAAGGGCCACGTTCCACACGGACGGGCCGGGAGCGATGCAGAAATGGCGCAGGCGGTCATTTTCTTTACCAAGAATTCATATGTCAACGGGCAGATTCTGGCGGTTGATGGTGGCGTGCTCAACGTTGTTAGCTCTTGAGGCAGGGGCCAGGATACAAGGACAAGGGGCTGGGGTGACTCGGAGCCAGTGTGAAGCGTTGGATGGCAGGTGCATATGCGCGTGTACGAGTCGGCTAGTTGGCGTATTACGTGATTCGCGTTAGTGTAGGGCAGAAGCATGGGAGAGAGACAGTCGAGTAATACAGAGGTTGACCAGACATGTTTGGGTCGTGTGTGTGTTTGGTGGGACAAAGTTTCCTGTTTGGTGCAGATTGGCACTGGCAGACGGGTGGCCAAAGCAAAAGTCATGGTTCCCCACATTCCCCGCGATAAGGCCAAGGTTGACGGCGATATGATAACACATGGCTGACGAGAGCGAGGTGCTATGGTTGGACGCGACAATGATGGGCAATGTACCGAGAGGACAAAACACCATGTGAGGCAGCTGATGTGTATGTACCTGCGCCTGTAAGCATGCACACGTGTGCTGTGTGTGGGTAAGTAAGTAAGTATGTATGTATGTACGTAGGTACATGAACGGTGAGCACAAGCACGTGAAGACGCGTGGACAAGGTTGCGAGCCCTGCCCTGCAGACGGCCAAAAGGAAAGATGCAGTAGGGGAAACGAGCAGAAGAAAACAAGACAGAGGTGGTGAATGGGCGGGTTGGGCATGTACCAATTGGGCAGAGACGGGCAAAGCAGGTAATATGTAATTAAGTGGACGGCGGGCGAGTAGCACAAGCGAAGTGGGCGCATGTGCTGCTGGGGGGGCGGGCATGCAGTCGAGTGGGTAGCGGTCTGGTCTGGCTGGGCTGGGTAGGCTGGGTAGGCTGGGTAGGCGGGCACAGCGCAGCACAGCACAGCCCAGCACACGGCGTCAATGGAGCGGTGGAAGGAAGGAAGACATTCCACTCTTGCCTTCCCTCATCCTCGCCCTCTCTCTCGTCTGCCCGACGCCAATCTCAACCTCATTCCTCGCCCTCGCCCTCGCCCTCCGCCCCATGACGCCGCCCTCGCACTGCGCCCGTGCCTAGCCACTTTTCACAGAGCCGGCCGACCCAGCGCAGCCACGACAGCCGTCTCTGGCAGGCGGCAGCGGCCCTTGGGATTCGCTGGCCAGGCTTGGAGCGTGTTTCGCGGCCAGGATCCCCAACTGATAATTGCTCTTTCACGGCCAGGGCGTGCGACGGACCCCGCCAACAAACCACGCCGAGCGGCGCATGGACGAACAACACCCGCAGCCGTAGTAGCAGCAAGAGTAGGCCTCGTCGGGACCTGAATGCAAACGCCCGCCGACGGCTCTTCCTGTTCCTGACGCCGTTACGGTTACTGCGGTTGTCATTGTCATTGTCGTTGTTGTTGCTGTTCCTCCTCTGCTGCTGCTGCTGCTGCGCCCGCCGTTTCTGCTGCAGCTGGCTCGAGGATATGCACACCGCAGCGAGCCACGCACCGCCGCCCTACCTCGACCACGACTCCTGCTAATCCCGTGACAAGCCGCCCACGGACTTGACGCGGACATAAGAAAAGGCCGTCACCAGCTGCTGGCACTGGGACCACGGCCGCCCAAAGCCATTATGGTCTCACATCCTCAAAGGCCCTCGCATGCGCCCTCCAACTCGCGCTCCTCACATCCCTCGTCCACCACGCCCGGGGGCCACTCCAAGAAGCCCTCGTCATCCTCCTCGTCCAATCACAATGGCCATGCTCGCGACCGCGACCGCGACCAGCGCCCAAGCAGAGAAGGCACTGCCCAAAAAGCCGCCCAAGATGTCGCCGGCCTCAAGGACTACCAGCTGGGCGACTGCTTGGGCAAGGGCGCCTTTGGCAGTGTCTACCGCGCCCTCAATTGGGGCACTGGCGAGACGGTCGCCATCAAGCAAGTCCGCCTCGAAAACCTGGGCGCCGCAGATCTCAAGAACATGGAGATGGAAATTGACCTGCTCAAGAACCTTAACCACCCCAACATTGTCAAGTACCACGGCTTCGTGAGGAGTTCAGAGAGCTTGTACATTATTCTAGAGTGAGCATTGCCCGAATTGCTGCCTTTGCGCTGTGCCAAGTGCTAACATGTCCAGGTACTGCGAAAATGGATCGTTGCACAGCATCTGCAAAAACTTTGGAAAATTCCCCGAGAACCTCGTCGCGCTCTACATGTCCCAGGTCCTGCACGGACTCCTCTACCTACACGAGCAGGGTGTCATACACCGAGACATCAAGGGCGCCAATATTCTAACAACAAAAGAGGGCTTGGTCAAACTGGCCGATTTCGGTGTAGCAACAAAGCAGTCGGGTCTAGACCAGTCGAGCGTTGTGGGCACGCCCTACTGGATGGCCCCAGAAGTCATTGAACTCTCCGGCGCCACCACTTCGTCAGACATATGGAGCCTGGGGTGTACCGTCATCGAGTTGATAGAGGGAAAGCCGCCGTACCACAAACTACAGCCCATGCAGGCCCTATTCAGAATCGTCAATGACGAACACCCGCCGATCCCTGGCAGCGCGTCTCCAGTTAGTAAACCCTTTGCCGTTCCTGTTACCCTGAAACGCCCAGCGTGCTAACCCTTGCAGCTTCTGCGTGAATTTCTCATGGAGTGCTTCCAGAAGAACCCCACACTCCGCATCTCTGCCAAACGTCTTCTCAAGCACCCGTGGATCCTCAGCGCCAAGCGCACTGTCCCGGCGGTACCCACAAAACCTACCGAATACCAAGAAGCTGTCAAGTCCGTGCAAGAGTGGAACGAAGCTCTAAAGTCGCCCAATTCGCTGCGTAGGACTTCTCGCCTTTCTGGTGTACATAGGTCCTCCCCTTCAGCAGCAAATGGTCCTGGCGCAGTCTCTCGCAGGGCAGCGGTCAATGTCAACCTCAACATATCAAAGCACAGGCCTACCGCAGAATCGTTCCGCTCTCCCGAGTTAGATCACGACGATAACTGGGACAAGGATTTTGCTGAAAGCATATCTCCCCGTGCCCTACAGATGCCGCATCTTAAGCCCCAAGATAACTTTGGTGGTCTGTTCTCGGGCGACAGGCTGAAAGCCTTTGCTAGTTTCGAGTCGGTCACTGAAACGGCGGATTTTGGAGACGGAGAGGCTACGGTCAAGAGCCCAAAGAGCATGCAACAGTACCAAAGTCTTCCAAAAGTGCCAGGCCAGAGAGCAAGCGAAAGATCAAACAGAACAAGCGCAAAATCTAGCAGCACTGGCCGATCTTCAAGGTCGGCATCGAGTGCCACAGATTCAGAGTTTGAGGACAGACACGAGGTACAGCCAAGAACGGCATTCCTTCGGGCAACACCACGGTCTACACAGCCTTTAAAGCCAAGGACCGCAGCCCCAGCGCGACCCAGCCAGCTTTTCCGTGAAGATACCATTGAGGACTATTCGGATCTTATGCCAGCTGACGAGAATGCCTTTGCACGAAAATTGGCGTCAATGCAGTACGCTCAGCCGCCGGCTGTGCAGCCCAAGCAAGCAACCGCTGCCAACAACTTGCCGTCTGATAATTTTTCTCCCCGACTCTTCCACCCAAGCGACTTGAGGGCAGGTCCAAAGTCGACACGAGACTTGAAGTCAAGTGGAAACATTCACCAACGATCATCGAGCTCGACGTCGAATCGCAAGCTGCACCGGACACAATCTGAAATTGAAATTCAAAAGTATGCCGAAGACGAAGGAGATGACTTCTCAGACGTTTTTGGCGACATCAAAGGTCGTCTTGCTAACCCTACTCGAGCCGAAAGCGACAGCGGCAGTGAACACAGCAGTCTTGCCATGATTACATCGAAGATGGCAAGTTCGTTCACCATTGCCGACGAAGATGATCTTGATCCATTTGCCAATCTGGATGAAGGCCTCGACAACATTAACCTGGAGAACAACGTTGCCCGCGACCGGGATGATCGACTGACGAAGATGACAGAAGGCCTCGTCGGATGCTTGAAGATCAGCCAACCAGACGATGAACTTCTGGAGATTGCAGACCAACTGTTGCAAGTACTGCATGAATCACCAGACAAACGGTCAATCATCCTGCGAAGCCATGGTATGCTGCCCATCTTGGAAATCCTCGGGACCCGGCCACACAACGAAGTAGTTCTGCCCCTTCTGAAGATCATCAACCTTATTATCCTGGAAGATGCCGAGTCGCAAGAGAGTTTGTCTTTCCTCGGAGGAATCCCAACAATCTGCCACTTTGCCTCCAAGAAGTTCCCAAGTGACATTCGGAAAGAGGCTGCGGCTTTTGTGCGACAAATGTACCAGACAAGCACCCTGACATTGCAAATGTTCATTGGATGTGGAGGTATTAATGTGCTCGTCGAATTTTTGGAAGAGGACATCGACGCTGAACGCGACCTGGTACTCATTGGTGTCAATGGTGTTTATGGTGTGTTTGAACTGCAAGGGCCAACGCCAAAGAATGACTTTTGCCGCATATTCTCAAGATCGAGCGTGCTGTACCCACTCAGTTTAGTCTTGAATCGTATGGTTGAGGAAGATGGCGAGGTTGCACGACTCATTGTGGGCAGAATTGTTCAGATCTTCCTCATCTTTTCACAGGCAGAGAGCCATGTCAAGGATCTTGTGGCGGATCGGATGATTCTAAAGCGTAAGTCATTCTCGTCAGTGATCATTTGCAACACGACTAACAATCTCAGGCGTCCTCAAAGACCTTCGCAAAATGGCTCCACCACACCAAATTACGATGCTCAAGTTCATCAAGAATCTGAGCTCCCTCTCTTCTACCCACGAAGCCCTCCAAAACTCTAATGCCATCGACATCCTTATCGATCTGCTAAAGGCTACTCGACAAAAGGACGCATTGAGCCGCAGCCAGAGTCGATCTACATTCGACCCCAAGCGGCTACCGCCTTTCCACCGCGAAATCTCGAATCAGATCCTCAACACAATGTACAACTTGTGTCGGCACAATAAGAGCAGACAAGAGGAGGCTGCCTTGTCCGACATCATTCCCTTACTCAAAGATGTCGTGCGTGAAGGCGGACCACTCAAGGAGTTTGCTTTGCCTGTGCTCCTGGAAATGGTCAACTCTGGCAAGGTAGCACGTAAGATGCTGTGGGATGCAAAGGGTCTTGCATTTTACGTATCACTGTTGGGTGACCGTAATTGGGCTGTGACTGCCCTGGATGCCATCTTCGTTTGGTACGTCTCATCCCATTGTACAATAGCTGCGTACAGTAGGCTAACAGTTATGCAGGCTTCAGGAAGAGACAGCTCGCGTCGAGCAATACCTCCTTTCTCCTCAATCGAACTTTACGGCTGCTGTCATCTCTGCATATACCTCCGCCGATCTGCCACACTCGACGTTTGAGAACATGCTTGAACCTTTACAGAAGGTAGTCCGTTTATCGCCACCCATCGCTGCTTCGCTTGCCGTGCCAGAGATCTTCAGTCGGACTGAACAGAAGCTTGGTCATAAGGATGCTGTAACGCGTCTTAACTTTCTTCGTATTCTGCGCACAATTTGCGATGCAAAGGATGAAGGATGTTGGCTCGTGCGTGCTTTTGGCTGCTATGAGCGAATCACCTGGCTCATGGAACACGATGCTGCCGTGCTAGTGAGGCAAATGGCTGAAGAGCTTGTCCGAGCTTGCGATGAGGTAGAGCTCTCGGGCATCAACAAAGGCTCCAATGGCAAGCGGAGTCTCAGTCGCGCGTCTACCAATAACTTGAATTTACGGCGTCCTACTTCTTCAGCTGGTCGACGCGACGGCTCCGGCTCAAGTACAGGTTCTACTATGATTGGTAGCGGTATGGGCCTGACACCACCTACGCCGAATTCTCTCAAGAACACATTCATGCTGCCACCTATGAATGGCACACCTACATCATTGGGCAGTGGGCGCGATCGCATCACACGCTCTCAATCCTCGAATGGAATGTGGGATCTCGCCGAAGACCCCACCACCGTCCTTCCTCCATCTTCTGGTCGTTCTAAACCACCAGCTCTAGCACGAAGCTCCACTTCCTTTGCTGCTATTCCGGGT